CCCATGACGGTGCCTTGCCCATGACGGTGCCTTGTCCATGACGTTGCCGGCATGACGGTGCCTTGTTCATGACGCTGCCGGCATGTCGGTGCCTTGTCCATGACGCTGCCTTGTCCAATAATTTTTCATTTGACGAGTAGTGAGTGATCTTTGATTTTTTGTTTGTCTTTTTTTGAATTTCAGAAAGACTTGTCCTCCGTCACGAATCTTAGAAGAACACTGCCGTTTGCCCCGATATCTGTTCAGTTATCCTACATGTAAGATCAAAAGAAAGTAACTACACAGCACCGCAACAAATGTGTTATAAATGTATCGAACTTACAGCTCAGATGCTGGCGTCTCATCCAAAAGAAGACTAGTGTGCTACAACTATCAGAATCCATTGCGCACTTATTTTTGTCAGTCAATTTCATCTTACGAGGCAATCAATAGTTCATGGTTATGACTCCCCTTAGTTACCGTTGCTATGTTCTACAGGCTTAAAAAATTATCTAGAATATCTCAGAATTTAAAACTCTGATCGCGGAAGATAAATCATAAATTGCTTAAATTGTTTATTTTCTGAGAGAATAAAATAAAATTTCCTCATAATCTTTTTAGTACGCTTCAAAACAAATACTGTGTAGTTGTTTGTAGGGMAACATTTTAATTTTACTGGAAAAACTGCTGCAACGGTGGTTGGTTCGCTAGCTATTGTGTGAGTTCATTCAATTCATTCTAGACATCCAGTTTGGTGATGACTCGTTCTTTCTTTTTTGTTTTAGATACAACCAGCACTTCAAGCCCAAAAGTACTCAGCCAAGTACTTTCGATGAAGCCATTCAGTTTCTTAGACATTTTAATAAGTCATCAGAAGAACCGTTAACACAGGCTCGTCCAACACCCATCAAGTTGTCTGAGGAAAAAGTAGCTGGTGGAGATATTGCTTGTATCCTGTCATTACTTACTGTGAACGAGGTTTGGATTCAATGTTTTGAATTTTCTGAATAGTGCTTTCTGAAGTTTTCTCTTTTTTCCCTTCCTTTCTTTTCGTTTCATTTCATTTCATTTTCGTTTCATTTCTTTTCGTTTCCTTTCATATGATTTTCTTCTGTTTCATTTCTTTTCCTTTTTTTCGTTTCGTTTCTTTTCGTTTCCTTTTGTTTCATTTCGTTTCCTTTTAGTTCGTTTCGTCTCGTTTTCTTTCATTTTTCTTACTTTTCGTTTCCTTTCTTGCTTTCCTTTCCTATGACATCTCCTTTGAAATGCTCTTTTTGTCTGCCCATTAAAATAAGGTTATCAGTAATTTTGCTACGTATTAGGCTTCGTTTTCGTTGAGGTAGGGTAACACTACTGCTAGGGTTCACTCTTTTGTTTTTGCCGTCATGGATGCTCAACCTTAACCAGGCATATTGTTTGTTCTTAGATAACTGTGGAGATCCATATACCTGACGAAATACTCCAGACAGACGAAAAGCAGCATGTCAATTTTCGCACAAAGAAGAAATCAATCATTTCTGTACCATCATCTTTGGTCACTCTAAAACAACTGTCTTCAAAACAGAAAAAAGTTGCAAAGAAAGGTGAATTTATTGAAGGTAAAGTGGCTAGCAAGCCGAAACCAAATGTCAAGAAAGCGAGGAAAACTGTGAAGAGAAAGTCAGAGAGTGAAAGGCCTGGTAGTATAGAGGAAGACAGATCAGAGCRCAGTGCCGAATCATCGGAGGATGGGACAAAAATAACGACAGAGAAGAGAACATCAGGAAGTGAAGAAACTAATGCGGCCGTAGGGTGGAACAAACCAGAAGGCGTTAAAAAAATAACAGACGTTAGGGAAGCAGAGACAAAAGAAACGAGGAAATCCGAAAGCAAACAAGATGGTCCTGGGGAAGAAAATACTAAAAGCAAACCAGCACGCGAAAGTAATTCAACAAAAGACAAGTCAAAAAAAAACACTGATAGAATCCATTCAACTGAGCACGAGTTCGTTAGACCCAAAGAAGTGTCTAAGGAGAAGGCAAACAAGAAAGACAACACACAGCAAGGCGTGGTCGTAGATGCACAAAACCTACAGGAGGATCCAGCAGAACGAATTCAAGTAATTGGCGCTTCGGGTGTCATAAAAACCCCAGCATCAACTAAGCAGGTCAAAGAAAAAGAGATAAAACGAAAAATGGAAGAAAAAACGGGAAATGTTCAAGGAGGAACTGAGGCAAATGAAGATACAGAAGATGAGGCACTAGAAGATCCTTTTGTGGATAACCAATCATTAATTCACTGTAAATTTAGCACCACCATTGATCTGTCATCCATGGACCACAAACTGTTCACCACTGACTATTGTTCTGACACACCCAGTACTCCTTCGGTTGATACAGAAAATACCAACATCACCAAGACACTCAAACGAGTAGGACGAATGAAGAGCAAGGGTCTCACTGCACCGATACTATTAACCAACTCTAGCGAAGTTGCCTTAATCAATAATTGCTCGTTATTTATTAGACCAAAGGTTACCACTGGAAACCAGGGTAACGTCTGTGACATTGACGTTCCCATGGATACACAAAGAAATAACCAATCACTTGATATTTTGTCATCATGCTCACTTGACGTCATTCTTGAAAACCCACCAACATTGAATGCATACTTAGATGCCAATAATGAATTCAATGCAAGTGATATAAAACTTTGCACTTTAATATGGGAAGCAGCGAATGAGATGAAAGAACTGGGAACATCCATGGCATTGCTCAAGGTATTTCTCTTTTCATATTGTGTATTTTCTTGGTCTGTATATAGTGTTGCTTCTAACCTCTGGGACCAATGCAATGATAGTGGAGGGGTGATGAGAACGTGTGTGAAATTTATACTCCATTTAAATCGAATGCATCAGGTATTCCAGCTTTTTATCTGCAATCTGCTGCATTTTTTATCTTGTTTGTTATTGCATTTTTTGCACTAGTCATCAGAAAAGTACCTAGGAAAAACAAGCAGATATGAATTCATATACTTATAGAAGCGAGATTAAGGGAAAGGCAAGAAAAAGCACAAAAAGAAAACGTAAAAAAGTAAAAGAAGAAGAGTGACAGACAATTCAAAAATACAATTTTTTTGTGGTTTAATATTTTATTTTAGTGCTGTTTTTCCCAACAAATAGAAGAGAAAGCGTTAAAAGAAAACGCAAAAAATAAATAAAAGAACAAGAGTGACAGATGATTCAAGAATCCAACTTTTCTTATAGTTAAATGTTTAACTTCAGTGCTCTTCTTCTTCCTCAGCAAATATTTAAAGAAAAGAAAGTGGTCCTGGATCAAGCTTCTTATTCTCTAGACCAACACTTGAAAAAACTCTGCGATGCCAACCTGGTAAGAAGCTCTTATTTCCATTATCAACGTTTATATGATACGCTCTAAAGAATGCATTATGCATTCATGGCCACCATTTTATCGATGGCTTTCTTTGGTACCTGGTAAAACATTGAAAATTCAAAGAATCTCATCAAACTATCCTAAGAATAAAATGGGTGATGATGATGGTGGTTGTGGTYGGTGGTGGTGGTGATGATGATATTCTTGGGGAGCATTTGATGTCATAACTGCAATGTTGCTTAATTGACTGATTTGACAAAATATTTGGTCTTGGTGTTTTTTGATTTGTGATGTCATCCTACATGGTGGCCATGTTTTTTTTGTTTTTTTTGTTTTTTTTTATGGGAAGGGAATGATTCATGCCACTAACATTCATAACTTATGTTTTTATCATTCTAGTTGTTACAGGTTGGAAACTTTGAGAAACGATATGTGTGTCCAAGCTTTGCCAGAAACTGGTGCATTGATTTCATGAAGGTTTGTCTTTTGTTAACTTGTCACCTTTCTTTTTAAGCCACACTATTAATGGACTAAAATTTGGTTACAGAGTAAGATTGCCATGTCCGAAAAGGGCAATGAAGATGGTGTCATTCTATATGGAACATCATCATCCACTGGCAGCAAATCATCAGCAGGTGCATCTGTAACAGAAAACCCAGACACTTCTGTGATGACTGAAGCTGCAACAGCTCAAGAGTATACTACACAACCTGCATCAGCATCATCAACTATTGTCCAGGCAGTGACAACTGAGCCTGTGACTATGCAACTGGCTTCTGAAGCAACACCATCAACTACTGTCCAGGCAGTGACAACTGAGGCTGTGCCTACACAACCAGGGGTTTCTGAAGTGACAACATCAACTACTGTCCAGGCAGTGATAACCGAGTCTGTGCCTACACAACCAGTGACTTCTGTAGCAACATCATCAACTACTGCCCAGTCAGTGACAACTGAGTCAGTGCCTGCACAACCAGTGGTTTCTGCAGTGACACCATCAACTACTGTCCAGGCAGTGACAACTGAGTCAGTGCCTGCTCAACCAGTGGTTTCTGCAGTGACACCATCAACTACTGTCCATTCAGTGACGATYGAGTTTGTGCCTGCACAACCAGTGGTTTCTGCAGTGACACCATCAACTACTGTCCAGGCAGTGACAACTGAGCAAGTGGATACACAACTGGTAGCAGGAACATCCTCTGCTGTTCATACTTCAGCATCTGAGTCAGTTAACACTGTGACAACCCAATCAGCAGATGCAAGATCATCACCAGGAGTTGAAATGGCAAATGATGAAAAGCCTGAAAAAACGGCACCAACAGAAACACCCTCTGCAAGCTTGACAGAGACAGTTCAGAGTTCATCCCAAGAAGAAACTGATAACTCAAGTAAAATCAATCCTGGCACGCTCACTAGGTAATTACCATGTGCTGTGTTGGTCTTTTGGTAATTTTAAAAGTGTATGAAAATCTTTAAATTCACAAAGAAAGGCCTCCAAAAGAGGACTTTGAATCTCAAGTTTCTGTGTTCCTTGCCTCAAATTTAGGCTGTTAGAGGAGTCAGAAGCAATCCTAAGTCGTCCATGGTTAGAGATAAATGGGAAAATCAACACAGTGTTCTTGAAGCCTATCATATCTGCAATATTATCCGATATTATGAATAACCCTGGAATCAGTCAAGTAAGTATTACATCAGGGAGGGTGCATGGAAAATATGCAGTTAAGCTTTTTAAAATGGTTGTAGCCCTGYCCCTTTCACCATGTAAGAAATTATACCCCTTCTATAAGTCAAAAAAGAAATAGCTTTCGTCAAAATAAAAAGGGGGTAGACCCTTCACAAAATTTCACATTTCTACCGTACTACCCAGGCAATCCAGCTTGTCCAGAGTCTTCTATCCAAGAGTCTGATTTCTTTAGGGGTGGGTTGGGGGTCATTTAAAAGACTAGCTAACCAATCCATTGATCATCACATACTGTACTAGTACAGCATGCTGCTGTCGTTGATGTTGTAAATTTTTTCTTGCAGGTGTACATCGCTAAGAAATATGTAAACATAATAAGACCAGTTTACTTTACTGAGCTTCTAGAGGTATGCATGAGATAGTTAGAAACGTTGATGCCAATTAAAATACTCTATGATATGGTTCTTTCCTAGATTTGCTTGAGTGACCCAAAGTTGACTTGAAACCTTTGTTAYGTAGTTGCTTGAGCAAAGTTTCAGATTGCCATTCTGTTTTCTTGATTCCAATTATACCAATATTACTATTGCTTTTGTTTTAGTACCTTCTATCAATTGGATGCATTACCAAGCATACATTATCTGTGACAAAACCTTCAAGCCTCTTTTCTCCCACAGTTACACAAGGCAAGTAAAATAACTGTATACCCCCTCTATTTTATTGTCAAGTTGCATTTTCGGGGTGGTTGGCTCTTTTAGTAGTGTAGTGGTTAACACATCAACTAGAAAACGGAAGATGTGGGTTAGAGTCCTGCCAAGGGCATTGATTTTTTCTTTCTTAATTATTTCATTCATCATACCAAAAACAGCCCATTTCTACTCAAATATAATGTATGGATTCACTTCAATGTACCATTATGATATCAGATTTAATCTTTTTTCTTCTTTCTTTACTTTATCTTTTAGATGCAGAGACAATTATTTATTATCTGCCTGTGGTGAACTGTATTGTCACTCTCGCAAATGCAGTTAAGAAATGGTCATRAGAAATAATCCAAACCATATCCTTATATACACCCACACAAAACTTTTTGGGGTAGAAATAATAACCAACTTTGGATTCCATTCTGGTTGAGTGGTCAAGAACAAAACATTTTGAGTCAAGAATCCAGAGAAACAACAAATATAATAATAATTATTGTCTTGATGCCCTATAGCCTAGACTTGGAATATTTATTGCTTGATCACTCATAAACCAGGAATAAAAGCCTTTATATATCAGAGAATTTATTGCACATAAAGTGGCCTCAAAAGTGTTGCAGTATAGTGATAGTAGAAATAATCTTTATAAATTCTTTTTCAATAAATGTTATTTATTAATTTTGAAAAATCTAAATCTCTTGGATGCAAGTTCTGGGTTGCTTAATTAATTTTGCTCCTTCACATGTATGGATGATAAATAATCTTTTTAATTCAGTATAGATTCTGTGACTTTAAAACTTGATATTATAAGATGCCTGTGTAATAATCCATCCACCATAACAGGACAACTAGCAGCTGGTTTTCTGATATGGTATCATAATGGCACCAATGAAACAAGTTTTAAGAGGAAAAATCTATTTCCCCTTCCCACCCTAGAAAGTACTAAAGCTGCTCAGACTTTAGCCTTATAAAAGAGTGATAATGTGTGCATGTAAAATTCAATTGTAAAGGTCAACAAAAATAGCAACTTTYATAGTGTAGTCAAAATGCTGAGAAAAACTACAAAATTATGGCAATGCCAAAGTCTCATCTGGTAGCTAACCATTGACAGAGATTTTTAGGTAGGTGTATAGTTAAACTTCAAGTATTTTTAAGTTTTCAGCCAGTTTTGCATCCCTTGAACCTGCAAGTACATCTCCAATGATCCATGCTTCATGACCATCAAGACTCTTCAGCTCACGGCAGTATTCTTCAGCCTTGTCACGAGGAAGGCTCACCAACAGTCCTCCTGTTAAAAGATATACCCAAGATATGTTGAATGAGATAAAGTGTATGTCTCTTGGAGGTTCCACAGAAGACATTGGGGTGTATAGAACTGTAGGGCTTAACATTATTTGTTGACATTATCAAAACACTTCTCCATCTTTTGTCTCTAATTTAGTTCAGCCTTTTAACAAGGTCCTTATCAGCTTTCCTTTAAACTTTGGAAAGGCAATGATACAAGGCCATACTAAAAAAAATGTAGGTTGGGTTTGTGAGTTAGCCATACCCTGACTTTCATCAGAGGCTGATTCAGGGTATTGATGAGGTATTGATAAAGTACAATGTAATGTATGTCCTATTATCCATTTTATCACAGGCTTAGAACAAACTATTGACACAGCCATACCTGAAGTCTCAGCAGAGTAGCCATCAAGCAGTTTAAAATTGATCCCACAAGCCTTATAGGCAGCTACCATGTTAGTGAAAATAGGCAGAGTATGAATCACAAATGACACTTGTTTTTCTTGCATCTTTGCCAAGTTGTCTGCATGACCCAGTATTCCAAATCCAGTCACATCAGTTGCTCCATGAGCCTCATATTTGTGCATGAGGAGAGCTGCATTTTTGTTTAATCTGGCCATTGATTCCATAGATTTGTCATATCCTGTTTTTACTTCTTCCTTGGATATGACATCTTTGATATTCTGCCACCATTTGCATGTTGGCTGGGAATTCATAATTATATGAGACTTTGAGCTAGTAGGTTGCAAAAGGGTAAATATAACCTAAGTATCCTCTAGAGTGCAGATGTGTAATAACTGGAATGACTCTCACAGAGTTAACCAATCAAAAAGTAAGATCCTGAAAACTTTAGGGTTGAAGTAGGAGTATTTTGAGTTCAGGAAATTACATTATATTTCATTCCATTTGTCAGATATGTGTCTGAATCTTGGCTTTGGTACTTGCTTCTGATTGGCTGAAGTTGACATGCTTTGTTTTTATTCTACATTATGATTGGTTAACTCTGTAATTTTACTCTACGATTGTACCGAGAGACAATGAACTCCAGGATAAACAATTATTATTCTATCCACTTACAGTATCCATCCACTGATGAGCATTGACAGCTATCTGGGTACCAAGTGGTTTAGTAAGAACAAGAACGTCTCCAACAACAGCTTTACCAGGCCTGCATAGAATTGAAATTAAACGAAATTTCTCAATTTGATTAACTCTTTTTGTGAGAGGATTTGCATAGGTTTTCCACTTTGGGTCTTTTGATATATGTGTTCTTGGTTATTTGGAAGCCTAGCAGTGATTGTTCAAATCTCACTTTGTAGCTTTGTTCTACTGCATGCTTCTTCCCTCTTCTGCCTTAATACCCCCTCCCCCAATAATATCTCATACCCATGCTAATCATATCAATTGCCTGTCCTATGTATCTGTCATATGCACTGTCACTCACTTGAGTCTATCCTCAAATTTCATCTACTATCCCACCTCCCATCTTCTGCCATTCCTTCCTTAATACCCCCTCCCCCCAATCATGCCAATTGACTATCCTATGTATCTGTCATATACACTGTCACTCACTTGCATCTAACCTCCTTAAAATTTCATCTACTATCCCACCTCCCATTTCTAAACTCTACTTTCCCTTCCATCCATTTTAACTAATCGTTGAAGATTATATATCAGTTCTTACATGATTATTTCTTCTTCTTTAACCACAGCACTAGCGACACCACCAATAATATACCATGGATTCAAGACAGTCTGTCCACCATTGACGGTAGTTCCTGCCTCAGCTGCTAAGTCATTGAACCCTTTAATAATCAGGGGGGTGACAACTTCTCTCTCTTTTAACGTCATCTGATTACTGACACCCAACAGCATCAACATATTATCGCAGAATGAAACCCCCATTGCATATAAATCACTGAGTACATTCGCACAGGCTATCTTGCCTTGAATATAGGGATCATCAACTAAAGGATAAAAGAAATCTGTGGTCTGGACCAAGCTAATTCCAGGATGTCTTGTTGGAAGGACACAACTATCTAGACCAATTCCAATCTTGCCATCGCCGTGTTCTACCCCTAATCCCTCCAAGAGCTTGAGCAGTTGCTCTTGAGGGACTTTACAACCTCATCCTTTGAGTTCAGTAAAATTAATCAAGTGGAAGTCATCGCTTAGGCCGTGTTCTTTTGGATCAAAAGGACGACGTTCCCCACCATTACGATCCGCCATCTTGCCATGTCATTATCACGTGCGCGACAAAAGTTAATTTATCAGGGGTAGGGTAGGGAAAACTAATATTTGTATAACATATACTACCCAGACACTGCATTTAAAATTTCCCAATCTCGTAATCCAAGAGCCTAGAGATGGGCCAGTAAATACAACACTTAGATTTTGGATTTTTTTAATTTACAAATTATTTCCAAAAAGTACCCCTCTCCACCTCCCCTCTAAATCTTTTATCCTAGTCTCCAGTTTCCCAGTCTATTAGTGATCACATTCAAGATGGCGGACGGTTCGTTATTAGATTCCTTCTTATATTATGGTCTTTTCTTAGGCGGCATTTTCCAGTTGATGTGTATCTTGGCTATAGTGTTTATTCCACCAAGCAGCCCAGAAGAAGTACAAAATCAATACGACGGTTCAATACCAAAGAAGACACAAGGAGTTCAAAGGACCAGACCCGAGAAAAAGAAAAAGAGATAGCAATATTTTTATCGTCATTTTGCCACATTTGTTATAATTTTGGATTTCAAAATTTCATGGATCTTGACGTGTGGAGCTTATTGAGGATCTTTCTTAACATTCTTAACAAAGAGTAGAGACTTCAAGGGAGTGGAGCTCTGATGAATTTATGGAGCAAACAACCAAGTTATGCATCGATAAACATCTCGGATAAGCTACGAGATTTTGAATTCACAGGATATATAAAAAAGATTGAAGTGCCTTCGATTTAAACTAAAATGGATAGCTCCAAGCAACATGTGTATATTTTACTTACTAAGTCACAGGAAGCATTTGGGCACGATCGAGAACGTGGAAACATTATGGTCGACATCAAATCAATGTCAGTGAATTGTTATTTTCATTGTGAATCGTGATATATTATGTACATACACGACAAATATTTGTACTTTAAAGTGTCTACTTCGATATACTCAGTACTCACGTAAATATAAGATTTATTGTATAAACTAACTTTTATAAATTATTTTACTTCAAAGGGTTGTAATTGGTAATGGGGTTTAAGGACCTAGTTTGAAACTGTAACTCGTGAATAATAAATAATTCGCTAGGAATTTACAGCTGGGTGTGTATTCTGAAGGTACCATTGTTAAGAACTCCAARAGAATAGCAGTCTGATAGCTAGGGGAAGAAACAGCACATAATAGTGATGAGCAATATCAGCTGCCTAAAAATTTTAAAATTTAAATTTCTCTTGTACAATTTGTCTTCAAAGTCAATATATGTTTATCAAAAATATAAGAAGAGTTTTGACATCCGTGAGGTAAATGATGCAGGTTATAATTCATAAGTTGACAGGAATGTTAAGCTTATATTTTAGGCCAAGTTATTTCTAAATACCAAAAGAAATGAGAATGTCTTTTAGTGTAAAATTGGGCTGTCAATTTTATATTTAACAAATATCCTTTGTTTGTACCTCTACAATTTACATATTTTTTATATGAAATTGAACAAGAATGAAAGTTGTTTTTGAAAAGCCCTTATAAGAATATCATTCAGGGCTTGGTTGTATGAAAGGTGTAGCACTATTCGATGGATAAATCCTTATCCAGTGAAGGAGTCAATGCCGTTATCCAATAGATTTATATACTGGATATGATTTAACCATTAGATAGCACTATCCATCCTTTAAACAACCGGGCCCAGAACTAGGCTTAATTCCTTCTTTTACAAAGGCTGCCATTGGAGTGTACTTGTTTTGGAGTGAGGGAGCTAAAATGGCTATTTATTCATTATTTATATAGAAAATTCAAACTGTTACCTGTGCTTCACCTAAAATCTTTTCATATTTAAACCCTTCCCCCCAGCGCCAATCAATTGCATAATATTATCTCATCAGACTGTGTAAAGCATCAATGATAAGGAACTTCATTGATCAACTTTATTATACACATATTTTATAATGCATATTCTACACTCAAGATGTTTGGGTTTTTTGGCTTCCTTCAATAAAAAAAATACGAACTCATCCCATTGGAAATTTGATTGATGGAAGCCAAAAAACCAGACGACTCAAATTATAGCTAGTTCTTTGGATTGTGTAATCATTAGAATGGTTATTCCCACAATACCCATATCTGGAGGTAGTATAATTTATTCTGTGAACTCTAGTATAATTTATTCTGCAAACTCCATAGTTGCAAGCTGCACACTGAACTTTTGTTTTTTCACTACCATCAATCAAAAATAATCAGTCAGTACCTTTTATATTCTTGACTGGCAGCAGTAAATACCCAATTTCACAACAAACCATTGAAATGCCTGAGTTAGTAGAATAATAATTTATATCAGAARCAGCAGTAACAGTATGTTTTACTACAGAACATGATCAAGAATACCACTGTTTCACAGATTTTCTTGATAATATTGCTCTTAACCACTATTTTAACAAATTGTCATTTTGGAAATGATCATTCATAAATGTCTAAGTTTAGTTTAGAGTGTCAGGCTTTGGCACTTTCAATTCTAGTATATCTTTAATACAGAAATGAATTAAAGCTACGCATCTGACATGGCTGTCATGGAATTGACAACTTCAACTTGTCACAAATCACAGTGCACATGATTGAATTCATTTGATCAGGATCAGTGACTTGCAGGAAATCTGTTCTAAAATCCTCAACTTTCAGTAAACCTTGAAATCCTTCTTCAATCAGTCCTTGAAGCAAAGGAGTAAAGTTCAATTTACTCTTTCAATCAAAGCTTTAAGTCCTAAACTCAAAGCACTTCCCCCTGCCATACCGAGTGTCATACTCAGCACTCCAAGATACCCAACAGTTTCTTTAGCTTTTCCGGGTACATCAAGAGGAGCATGGGACATGAGAGAAGTGTTCAGATGTCCTGTTGAAAGTCCTAATAAACCCACAAAGGTGGCCATCCAAGCTGGTCTTCTACTCAGCATGTATGGTGGTACACTCAAGCATATGCCAATAATTAGCGAAAATCTCACAAAGGTAGACAGCCATGCCCAGCCTAGATTATAGGTGTAATATAATGACATAGGTCCTCGGCCAAGCATGTCACCAATGTTGTAAACAAGTACCAAAAGCACTGGATACCATCCTTTACCAAGGAAATCATTTGCCATGGTAATGACAGAAGGTAACACCATGAATTGCTGTAACTGGATCAGCATTAACAGAAAACAATAACAAAAAACTCGCTTGTAACTCAGAACTTTGATTGCTTCATAGGAGAAGCAAGCAAATCGCTTGAAAGGACTTTTCAAGTCCGTATCCAAACTGTACTTAGCAGCTCTGGAGTAATATCTTTGAAATGCTCTGCCTTTGGTTARACGAATAAAGAGTATGATAACAACTGCTATGAAGAATGCCGTAGCTCCAAAGTAGTAGTAGGTAGACAGGTGCATGCTGGCTGTTGTACTCTTGGTGACGATTCGCAGAAGGGTGATAATGAAACCACATAAGCTTGCACCAAACTGTGAAGCAAGAAAGAATATTTAAATCATGTTTAATTTCATATGTGAAAGTAATTAATGTTGTATCGTTAATTGTTTTGAAAAATATCTTAGATTTAAGAAACATTACTATCAAAGTAAGGTAATAGACCCAGTGAAGTGGAAAAAATATGTTTTTGCATGACAAAAGATATCCTTTCCTAAAATTCAAAGAGAAAATTCTAATTGTGTTGTCATACGGCCTGGCTACAATTATTAGTACAATATATATGAGTAACAATGGTTCAAATATTTTTCATTGTACAAGATACTAAATTTTGTATAAACCAAAACCAAACCTACCATTAACCCTTGGGTGTATAATGGTGGTAAAGCATGGCTTGTAAGACCAAACAAAGTGGATTGACAAACAGCATCAGCTAAGCCAAGGACGCCAGCCATTGCTAGAACAGCCCAGTAATGAAACTTATGAGGATTAATGCAAGGGTCCCCACATAACTCGAGTCGATCTAAAGCAATGAATCCCAACATAGACAAAGCCATCACGCCGAAACCACATACTATCCTCCATCGAAAACTAGAGCCTCTTCCCCAGACGAGATTGACAAATGAACCACAGAACAATAGAGGATTGTAGATAACATTAAGGGCGAATTCTGGCTCTGTTTTTGGGAAAATATCGTCGAAGTAATCCACGGCTGCGAAGATTACGAACATTGGCAAAACCGAGCCGATCCCAAAGAAGACAAACTGTAAATACATAGAGACATTTTTCTTCTTTAGCATAGCTGCTAGAGGACGATCCTTCACCACAGACGGGCTTGAAAACCCGTCTTCGTTGAGAAATTGTTCTGATTCAGCTTCAAGGTCGGCCATTGTCATTGCCACGTCGTTTTGGGGCCAATTTGGCAACGATGTTAATTATTATTAGCGTGAGGGCATACGATGAATGAATGGAAACCAGATATGTGCTTGGCACGATTGATATGCTGAATCAAAGCGTATTTGTATGCTGGAAACGCCAAAGGATAAGTTGTACTTGGATTATATTTGTTTTRGTGCATACATTACGATACAGTAATGGATTAACCCACTGCTGGTCATGTCCGCATGGGTGAAAACCGCTACCATGACACTGCAGACGCAATTAGAGATTTGCGCGTATTTTGCGGTTATCATAAAAAATTTTCCCCACAAAATCATGGGTCTTAAAAGAATGGGCCCTTTATAATTTATGATTTTTAAAGATCATTTTAAAGGTCCAATCATGGACAAATCTCTAATTRCGAACAAAAACTATATGGAGCCACCTTAAAAGGATGGATTCTTCAATGGTTCTTTATGATTTATGATTTTTAATGATATCTTTAAAGGTTCAAGACAAAATGAAAGATCATGGATGGTAAAAAATCATTAACCATGGACATTTAGAGAGATATAATAGAGAGCAGAACAAAGAACAAAAGAAAACACACAAAAGAAAACGACAGAAAAATAGGTCAAATGAAAAGGCAGTAATCTTGAGTCAGCGGTAACACGTATTCGCGCGCGCAAGATCTCATGATTTAACAATAATAACTATGGCAACTAATTCAAGCCACTCTTAATTTACTTTTTAGTCATTTTTCTTACTCTTATGAAGTAAATATGAAGGTGTTCTCTAACAATCTACGCTACATGCACCTTGACAAAACGTACTGCTTATTATCAGGTAAGAGTGATTGAAAAGATTCTCTTATTTTCTCTTCTCTTCTCTTCTCTTCTCTTCTCTTTCTTTTCCATCCTTCCACGATTACTAGCTCTCTACATACCTACACTACACTAAAACTGAACTTATCTTTATAGGTAAAAATATCCGTATCGTCCTGGAACTATTCCGTTTACTTGACATCCATGATGAAATGGCGCTGAATGACGTCCAGTTTCTAGCYTTCATGCGCGTAACGACCGACCTGAATAAAAACCAGATCTACAAAGTATTCGACATGCTCGATGTCGACGGCTCAGGCTCCATTGATTTTGACGAGTTTTACCTTCTTATCTGTATCCTGATTGCTGTGCAGGACAGGGAGGAAAAGCACTTCATCTACCGTCATTCTCGGACAGTTTTTGACCTTCTAGATGAAGACAGTAGCGGAAACATATCGTCCTTTGAGTTTGAAACGTTCGGATTTATGTTTAACCTCGAGGGCAAAGCGATAAGGGAAATCTTTAAGGATTTTGATGTGTCCGGTGATCAGGTTGGTTTGAAGCGATCAGTCTAACATTTCTAACATTTTGATGATCAATTAGCAAGATTCTATAGATCGARTGCGGTGATAGCCTAAGAGGATTTTGTCTCTGGACTTAATTACCTAAGATGTTCTTCGTCCCTTAGGGCTTTCATGCATATTTTTGCAATCTCACACTAAATGCAAAACTTGGCACATCTTGATTGCATTAAGGCTTAATCCACACTTGTAATGCGTTTTCAAAAAGTTTCGTTTTATACGGACGCGTCTAACCAAAAAAGCATTGAAAGCTCACCCTCCGTACTCGCGTTTTCTTAGAGATATTGCCCTGCAGCTATCAACACTAACGTAATAGGCGAAATTTACGGTGTGATAACGCGGGGCACTGAATTTTTCTGCAAATTGCGTTGCGACCGCACAAGGTGCAAAAACTGTTTACACGGTGCAACGGAGGCGCAATCCTTTGCCAAAAGTAGAAACGAATTCTACTTTTTTCAACAATTGCTGCAACTTGTCTCGCAACATTTTTWAAAAATTGCTTTATAGGTTACACGCTGCAATGCCCCATGCAACTTGTCTGACAACGCCGCTGCGAGACAAGTTCCAGATAAAATTGCTCCGTATAATCGCTCCTTTAAGTACGGACGGAAGATAAACTGCTGTACATATTTCAGGAAACACCTTCCTTCAAATTTTTCAAATCCAGCTTACAAACGGAGCTCGAGAATGTAGCGTGTCGGGTTAGGGAGAGAAACGGGAGACCGCCTCGATTCAAGGAAAAAACCAAGTGCATTTTTWAAAATTTGAATCAACTCATTTTAGTTTACGCGCTTCTCATCAGCATTTTCTATTTCAATTGTTTCTTGACAGGAACTTGATTATACAGAATTCAAGATGTTTGCCATGGCTTGTATAGATCGATGTGCTGAGATAGAGAATACCACAGGGCCTAAACGATGTGCTATTTGTATTTCCAGGACTYGTGATTCTTGCGCAATTATGTGATTAGAGTAACACGCGGCATATACGACACTAAAAAAGAAAAACACACCAGTCGGTATCATAAACATAATATAAAAACGATAACTAGTTATTATTTTTTYCCAATTACTTCGTATACATGTTTTAATAATGAAGGCATGACGATTCCGAAACAGGCTGGTTCTCACTAAAATTGCGTTGTTCTTTACCTTGAATTATAAAGAAGAATACATTAAACATTTAAACGTATATTAAAAAAAGAAAGTATTTATGCATAGAAAATATATTAGTTGATGTTAGCTTAAAACTACTTTAATTTTTTGAAAGATATTTTGATGTTGTTGCATGATGATGATATGCTGCTGTTGTATGATGATATGTTGTTGTATGATGATATGTTGTTGTATGATGATATGTTGTTGTATGATGATATGTTGTTGTATGATGATATGCTGTTGTATGATGATATGTTGTCGTATGATGATATGTTGTTGTATGATGATATGTTGTTGTATGATGATACACTGTTGTTGTATGATGATATGTTGTTGTATGATGATATGTTGTTGTATGATGATATGTTGTTGTATGATGATACGCTGTTGTTGTATGATGATATGCTGTTGTATGATGATATGTTGTTTTATGATGATATGTTGTTTTATGATGATATGTTGTTGTATGATGATACGCTGTTGTTGTATGATGATATGTTGTTGTATGATGATATGTTGTTGCATGATGATATGCTGTTGTATGATGATATGTTGTTTTATGATGATATGTTGTTGTATGATGATATGTTGTTGTATGATGATATGTTGTTGTATGATGATATGCTGTTGTATGATGATATGTTGTTTTATGATGATATGATGTTGTATGATGATATGTTGTTCTGTAGAATATGATGATGATATGATTATGATATACTGTTGTATAATGATATGTTGCATTATGATAATATGCTGCTGTTGTATGACGATATGTTTTGTTGTTAGATAATGTTATTGTTGATGGTGATTGCCTTGTTTCATGATATGCTGTTGTCGTATGATGACATGTCGTTTTTGCATAACACTGTTATTATTGCCGCTGCGTCATGTTGTTTCTCAGTTGTTTAATTTCCGTTTTGCCTTATCCCATTTTCTTGTCTTATCTTTTTATCTTGTTTATTCTTCCATAAGAATTATCTCCTTGCCAGCGTCGGTCTGTTGTGCGGGAGGTCGTGCTTCAAGCTTCGAATGTTGATTATGGTGATAATAATAATTATAATGATGATCTGGTTGCAGAACATTGAATGCTGCTGCTTCCATCCTTTTTCAATTGATTTCTCTSAGTTTTGCATACTTTTTTGTCTTGTCCCTTAGTTTATTTTCTTATTTCCCCCAAGCGGTTTATTTTTGATAGGTAGCGCCACTCAGGCGATTCCGAATCCATCCTCAATGCAATTCTTTATCGAAACAAAAAATATATTCCTCCTGATTTCAAATGTTTCCCCTCACAACAAAACACATATATTAGCTAGGCGTAGAATAGCTCTCATAGATTGTAATTAGTATTGCAGGGGTTTAAGAACCTTTTTTAGTTTTCGAGTAAAAGCTGTTAGTTTGTTTATAAACCAAAAATGGATTGACGAAAAAATATCGAGGTATGAAGAAATGATTGCATGCTTATTGCCTGAATTCTTGACAAGTCTGAATTCGAGTCAATGCACTGACCTTGGAGAAGCCAGCTATTGAATTAATCTAATACGAATCGAATAATAGTTCGAAGCCAAGGCTGTAGTTGCATGCAGCGCATGATAGTTTTGTTATGCGCGGAAACTCCAACCTCGACTTGCAACTATTATTCGTGGTCACTAGCTGAAATAAAATGTAAAATGGAGTATTTCAAAAAAAGCACATTCTTATTTGAGCATGATGGCAGAAAAGATAAAACCTGATCAGCTGTCACTTGTTTTGACATGAGCTTTTAAAACCAGAGTCGCTTTTCTATCGGAAAAAACATTCTAGGGACAGTAGAGCTCCTGGCTGACCAACCTTGTCATTCTTTTGTAAATACTGCTCAAGACGTTAATGACATTTATCAAAACATTCTGATTTTATCATGGACACATAGCTATTAAGACTAGTCCCTCCKTTGTACTACTACTACTACTACAAAGGAGGGACCGTTGGGGAATGAGAGGACGGGAGGACTAGCTGATTGAGAAACCATGCAATATTGAAATGTTTTTTAAAAAACTAGGCCTCAGACAAGACAGACACAAGGCGGAATTTGAGTTTCGTGTATTACTGAGCGAGCGGGCTAAGCAAATTTACCTGAAATAATTTGCATCACGTTGAAATATTTATTTTCCGCATTTTTATGTAAAAAAGCTTCATTCTCATGGCTTAGCATAAAAAGAATAGTTAGACGAAGGAATAAATGAAGAGCGTATTTTTCTTAATTTTCATCTTCACTTAGTTTCCCTTTCCTTTATTCCCTTTTTYCGCCCTCCCTGTCGCCATGCTGTCTCTTACCATCCTCTCCCTTCCCTCAAGATCTAGTTATCATATTTGTTCACACACTGTGCATAAATTAACACTTCAAGTTAAATACCTGCATTAGTGTGCCCAATCATCTGTGATTAGATCGGCCCATCTCTTCACTTGACTTGGATCGTTCAACGAGGAAAGAAAAATCGATTTAACTTCAAGAAGCGCAAGAGTTTCAGAACGACAACAGTGTCTAAAAGTAAGTTTCTGTAAGCTCAGATATTTTAAGGAATCTTCTAACTAGACTGAATACAAGAAGTACAATTGCGAAGTGCTGCATTGTGAAGAATTCGGGAACTCGTATACTTGCTTTGTGTACTTATTATATATCTCCTTCCGTTATTGTTATTTTACGATAGATAAAGTGCTTCAACTCTCTAAAAAATACAAATGTGCCTCTCCAATCTTAAAAATCTCAGAAGTGAGCTTAGAGCTACGCCGGACTTTTAAGCTTATTTTCGTTTCTGAACTATTGGGTCATTTATAAACATATATCTGTTTGTTTTGGAAAGAACATTTCTCATTCATCAGTGATACCGTACATAATCCAAAGTACCTTTTGTGTACCTGGAAGAAAAGGAAAAATAGACTTGGAAATCATTTATATATTCTTTACCTTGCTTTTTCATGTAACTTACTTTAATGCTAATAATGGCTTGAAGCTATAAAATGCTAAAGACAAAACAAAGAAAATTTGTGGGTGTATTTTTAATAGTGTTTAGATTAACTAAGTTCAATTTGTGTAGTAACAAAAATTTGAAAAGTCAGTAAAGTGATCAATAATAAGCGATGCATCTTTGGAGAAATTGAACCCGAGAATTAAAAACAACACGTTCACCAACACCTCAGCAATAATACGTCATAAGATCAAAAATGATTGGGGCATGTTTGGAGAAGTCGAGTCAACAGACCAAAAAATGAAAAATAAAAGATAAAAAACGAACAGTCGCACTTCAAAGAAGAAGTATTTAAGTCAAAAAAAATGAAAACGATAATATTAATAATAAGAAAATGAGTGGCAATGAAACAAAAACATATATATATATATACATAGGATCTAAAATCCAGGAGCTGACATTCAAAAATTACACTGAACTTATCTAACAAGATCAGAATCGTAGACATATCCATTTCGAATTCTGCTTTCAAGAAAAGCAACTTGTGGTATGTGCCCATCGTATCAGTATAGTGATCTGCTGTTTCCGAAGTCGATCTTCTCTACCTAAGCATGATAATATATATGCGGAGTCCTAAGGGGTATGATTAAATTATCTTCCATTTTTAGATCATTTTTCTGATAAAGAATACTTATGGAATTTGTGAGAAACTAAATTAAGGCTATGAGGATGTTGTTGTTACTATAAAAAAAAAAAGATACCCTCTGAGAACAGGATGTCATGATCACCTGACAAACTGTTTCTTCATATTTTTTACAGGATATATATAAARTCTCGTTCATTGTATTTATAAAGTGTCATCATTTTTCCTGTGATGCAAAATTCCATATTCGTGAGAAAAACTAAGACTATAACCATGAGCCTATTACTGAAAAATTTTCCTTTTTTTGAAACACTTTGTCGGTTAAGTTTTTAATRTTAAAGGTAGGAAATCCCGTGCATTATGAGATTAGTTTTCCTGATAGATATAGAATCCACGTACTCGTGAGAAAAACTTGGCAAATTATCACAATGACCATGATCTTGTTGAAAATGTTAAGATTTTTGATGATATCATTTGACCAGTTTTGATGAGTATTGTCCTATATCCTTTAAGATATATTATACCTTGATAAAGTACAAAAGAAAATGACCATGTACTACGTATTGTTACTGCAACCTTGGCTTTAAGAAAAGGCTGCTCTTAGTGATTATCTCAACACCTTCTTCAATGTTCGTAACTCGCCTAAAGATATTTTAAAAAACGTTTGGTTCTGGATGTCAATATTTTTTTGCGAGAAAAGACGTCTGATTACAAGCATGCAGTGTAAAATATAATATTGACATTGATATTTGATGGTTGCCAAATAGTCGAGAAAATTCGACAATATTCTTGGAGGTTTTGCGTAACATTTCTCACTATTTTTCTCTCTTTCTTTTTCTTTCTTTCTCTCTCTCTCTGGGCCCAAACTTTGGAACTCTCTCTCGACAGATCTTAGGAACTTCTYTGTTTAAAAAAGGAATTGAAATCCTATACTATTTCTGAATAAATATTTCTTAGATATATAGTTTCCTTATATTGATAATAATTATATTTATTGTACACATTTTCTTATTTTATACTTTATAACGGCTTTCACGGAAACCAAAATTGTAATTTGATGAAATCCCGCCTTTAAATAAAGTACATTCATTCTTTCTTAGTTCTCTCTCTTTCTCTCTTTAACTCTAACTATTTCTTTCCTTCTTTCTCTCTCTCTTTCTCTAGATGTTAAGTAATTTTATCTTAATTATATCTATACATGTCATGTCTTTACATTCGACCTTAAATTTATTGATACGGCTTTCTTGAAAAACAATGTAAGTTGACCGGAACTACAGTAGTAGAATAAAGGAGTCAACTCGCTCAATCTAGTCATGATTTCTCTCTCTCTCTCTCTAAAACATCTGTCTCTTTTTTTCTTGAACTTGGATTGAAACAGGATGAGTCTTGCATGATGCGCGCTACTATATGAGTGCTAATCACTTAAGGAGCTTTATTTTTACGGTGTTTTTCTTCAAGGGCATACTGATGCGCGTCACATTACTATCGGAAATACGCCTTGGTTCTTGAATTAATGGGGGGAAAAACTTGCATTCAATGTCAGACCAAGAGAGTTTTTGTACCGATTTTCCGTCTTGAACAACGTACTCTTGTCGATTTATGCAATCAGATCAATATGTCCGAAGGGTAATATCAATACGCTAGAAGACCGTACTCCAGAAAGGAATGAAAGCTGACTTCAAGACACTGTCTCACGTACTGTTTTGCATTTGTAAGAAAAATGAGTAAAATAATGACAAAGAATCACGTACGCTTTTGCGGTACACGAAACACCAACTAAATAACCAGCAGAGAAATGGAAAAAAATCCGCGATTTTTTGCGCATTGTTAGTAATAAACTAGTGTAGGTACAGTCTATAATAAACAATAATGACGCTACGATGATGATGATGATGATGATGATGATGATGATATTGATGATCTAATAGAACTGGTTGAGACTCTAAACATTCCGCAGAAATCTCCGTAAAATTAAGATTTCTATAAAATATGATATCATAGTTTTTATTGTGACGTTTTATTAGACGTTGGCAAAATATTATTTCATGTATTTTCATAATGTTGATGATGACTGTGTGAAAATGATTATCCCCGAGACCTTGAAATACCGGGTTGACAACCGGCGGGGTAAAGTCTTTTGTCTAACGGATGTCGATCTGTTCAGGAATCCGTAGCACGAGGCGAAACATTACGCACCTCATCTAGAACCCACACACCACACCTAAAGACACACACCACACACCTAGAACAACTATCATGC